AATTATGTTAGTCGGTAAAAGTACAATATTTACCTACTAATTTTTTTTAGTCGGGGTATATTAATTTTTGGCGACTAAAAAAAAATTAGTCGCTAAAAATCTCACAACTGGCGACTAAAAAAATTTAGTTGCTAAATTTGCACAATTGGCGACTAAAAAAATATTTTTGTTGCTGTATATATAGTTTTGGCAACTAAAATAATTTAGTTGCTAAAAGAAAAATAAAAAATTATTTTTTACCTTTCACGACCAAAAGTTTGGTCGGCAAAACCTTAATTTCAGCGACTAAAAAATAATTTGGTCGCGGTATATATAGTTTTGGCAACTAAAATATTTTCGTCGCTGAAAGAAAAATAAAAATTTATTTTTTACCTTTCGCGACCAAAAGTTTGGTCGGCAAAACCTTAATTTCAGCGACTAAAAATTATTTTGGTTGCGGTATATATAGTTTTGGTAACTAAAATATTTTCGTCGCTGAAAGAAAAATAAAAATTTATTTTTTACCTTTCATGACCAAAAGTTTGGTTGGCAAAACCTTAATTTCAGCGACTAAAAATTATTTTGGTCGCGGTATATATAGTTTTGGCAACTAAAATATTTTCGTCGCTGAAAGAAAAATTAAAATTTATTTTTTACCTTTCGCGACCAAAAGTTTGGTCGGCAAAACCTTAATTTCAGCGACTAAAAATTAGTTTGATCGTGGTATATATAGTTTTGGCAACTAAAATATTTTCGTCGCTGAAAGAAAAATAAAAATTTATTTTTTACCATTCGCGACCAAAAGTTTGGTTGGCAAAACCTTAATTTCAGCGACTAAAAATTATTTTGGTCGCATAGTTTTGGCAACTAAAATAATTTCGTCGCTGAAAGAAAAATAAAAATTTATTTTTTTCCTTTTGCGACCAAAAGTTTGGTCGGCAAAACCTTAATTTCAGCGACTAAAAATTATTTTGGTCGCGGTATATATAGTTTTGGCAACTAAAATAATTTAGTCGCTGAAAGAAAAATAAAATTTTATTTTTTACCTTTCGCGGCCAAAAGTTTGGTCAACAAAACCTTAATTTCAACGACTAAAAATTATTTTGGTCGCGGTATATATAGTTTTGGCAACTAAAACATTTTCGTCACTAAAAGAAAAAGAAAAATTTACTTTCACTCATCACTCTTTCTCTCTCTTTCTATCTATCTGTCTCTCTCTTTCTCTCTGTGTCTCTATCTCTCTTCTCTTTCTCTCTCTCTCACTCATCACTCTTCTCTGTTTGTCTATCTCTCTCTGTGTCTCTATTTTTGTTTCTGTCTCTCTTCTCTTTCTCTCTCTCACTCATCATTCTTCTCTGTCTTTCTGTCTCTCTCTCTGTGTCTCTCGCTTATCTCTCTTTTCTCTATCTCTGTCTCTTTTCTCTTTATCTCTCTCGCTCATCTCTCATTGTATCTCTCTCATGTATCTCTTTTCGCTCTTTTTCTCTCTCTCTCTTTTTTCCTGTCTCTTTTCACCCATTTTTTCATCTTCCTCTCTCTATTCTCTTTCTCTCTCTTACTCATCACTCTTCTCTGTCTGTCTATCTGTTTCTCTCTTTCTCTCTTTGTTTCTCTCACTCATCTATCTCTTCTCTTATATCTTTTCTCTCTCTATCTCTCTCATTCATCTCTCTTCTCTCGCTCATCTCCGTTCTCTCTATCTCTTTTTGTCTCTTTCATTCATCTTTCTTCTCTCCATGTCTCTCTCGCTCATCTCTCTTCTCTCTATCTCTTTCTCTGTCTCTCTCGTTCATCTCTCTTCTCTCTATCTCTCTCTCTGTCTCTCTCGTTCATCTCTCTTCTCTCTATGTCTTTTTTTTTGTTTCTCACTCTCTATCTCTTTCTCTTTTTGTCTCTCTCTCTCTTCTCTTTGTCTATCTCTCACTCATCACTCTTCTGTGTCTGTGTGTCTTCGTCTCTGTCTCTGTCTCTCTTTGTCTCTCGTTCATCTCTCCTCTTTCTCTATCTCTCTCGCTCATCTATCTCTCTCTCTCTCATCTTTTTTCTTTCTCTATCTCTCTCATTCATCTCGCTTCTCTCTGTCTCTCTCTTTGTCTGTCCTACTCATCTTTCTTCTTTCTCTCTATCTCTCTCTTTTTCTATGTCTTTCTCTCGATCATCTCTTTTCGTTCTCTTTCTCTCTCTCTGTCTATCTCTCACTCATCTCTTGTTTCTCTCTATGTCTTTATCTTTTTTCTTCTGTGTCTCTCTCTCTATCTATCTCTCTTTCACTCATCACTATTCTCTCTCTCTTTCTCTTTCTATGTCTCTTTCTCTATCTTTTGTTTATTTCTTTTTGTTGTCTCTCTCTCTCTCTCTCTCTCTCTCTCGCTTTTTTTTCTTTCTCTCTATCTCTCTCTGTCTCTCACTCGTCTCTCTTTTCTGTCAGTCATTCATTTCTCTCAATCACAATCATCTCTTTCTCTAAGCCCATTTTTGTTGAAAGAGGAAAAAGTCAAAAAATGAAATGGGTCTTTCTTTCTCTTTGCCTCTGTCTCTCGCTCATCCTCTTCTCTCTCTCTTTTACTCATCTTTCTTCTCTATCTCTCTCATCTCTTTTCAATTATTTTTTTTCAATTATTTTTTTTTCCAATAATTTATTTTTTCAATTATAATGTGTATGATCCCATCGTCATAAATAATAAAAAAATAAATATAAATATTTTAGGCCTAGACAAACATGCATAGTTTAACAACTTCTCGCTCATCTTTCTTCTCTCTCTATCTCTCTCTTTTTCTATGTCTTTCTCTTGATCATCTCTTTTCGCTCTTTTTCTCTCTCTCTTTGTCTATCTCTTACTCATCTCTTGTTTCTCTCTGCCTCTATCTCTATCTCTTTATCTTTCTGTCTCTCTATCTCTCTCTCTCTCACTCATCACTCTTCTCTCTCTCTTTTTCTCTCTCTATGTCTGTCTGTCTGTCTCTTACTCTTCTCTCTCTCTTTCTCTCTGTGTGTCTGTCTCTCTCCCCTATTGTGTTCACCTAGCTCACTTTCTCCCTCCCCTCTTCTCTATTTACCGAGCTCTTCACTACAAGAAAATGCACTTTTAGCGACCACTTTGTCTCTCTCTTGCTCATCACTCTGTCTCTGTCTCTGTCTTTGTCTCTGTCTCTCTCTCTATCTCTATTCTCTATCTGTCTCTCACTCATCTCTCTTTCACTACCCATCTCCTCTACCACATTCACTACTACTGCAAATGTCATTCCACTACCAGCATTATTACCATTGTTGCCACTCCACCTCTACGACTACTACCATTACTACCACCATCGTTACCACTATACTATTACTACTACTACTACTACTACCTTTCCTCCACCACCGCTACTCCATCTCCTCTACCATTACCACAACTTCACTACTACTACTACCTTTCCTCCACCACTGCCACTCCATCTCCTCTACCATTACCATAACTTCACCACTAATCTCCTTTGCCATCACCACCACCACCACCACCACTACCACCTCACCTCTTATCCACCACATTCACCACTACTGTCGCTTCCTCTCCTCTACCACAAAAATTAGCTCTTAATTTTTAGTAATAAAAAAAAGGGCCACAAAAAAAAAATTCATCGACCATAAAAAATTAACTTTATTTTAACGAAAAATATTTTTCATTAAAATATTACCCTTACTTCTATCAAAATAAAAAAAAAAATCATTCAAATAAAAATAAAACTAATTTCCCTCCCTTTTTCACTTACTCACCGGACCGCCCGCCCGCCCGCCAAACTTAATTTCCCCCCTTTTTTCTCTCTTCCTTTTCCCCCCATTTTTTTTTCATTTCCTTTCAGGTTTGTAGAGCCCTTAATTTCACAACATTGTTTCAAAACAGTGTGCAAACCTTAATCTGAGAGAGAGAAGATAGGGGTTTGAAGAGAGACTGGGGTTGAAGAGGAAGGGTTTCAGTCAGCGGCAAGACTGGTTCGGCGGCGAGACGGTACGCTTCTTTTGACTATTCTTTCGACTCTCTCACTCCAGTCGGTTCCTCTATCGACTGGGTTGAAATGGTTCCTCTATATCTCTATGTGACTGTGTATCCTTGGAACAACAATGATGTAGTTTTATAATCCGAACAGATCTTAAACCCTATGGCCTTTCGGTTCGTCTCCACTATGGCCAGAGACAAACACATCTTCCCTGCCCTCTCATTCTCTTATTTTTTTATTTGTATTTTTTTGAACGGCCTTGCACTCTCATTCATGGCTCTCTAACTCAATGCAAATGATCTCATATCCAAAACACTTAAATCCTCTTCTAATCAGTCAAATTGAAGAGCCGACTGGCCATAGGGTTTCAATTTATGAATAATCAAGCTTTGTGGGCTATATTTGGAAGATACTTTCAATTGATTTTCGCTTAGTACTGGAAGATATTTGGAAGATACTTTCAATTGATTTGTTTGATGTGCAATGCAATGGGGTTAGGAGAATTTGTTCATTCATTAGGCAAACAGAGCATATTAATTCTCTTCAGTGCTTTTATTGACGTTGATATATAACATGCCAAGTTTGAACTCATTCCAATTTTGGTTCAATTGAAAAAGCCGGATGTATCTGCACCAGGAGTCTGTTCTTGTTTTCGCTTAATAATATTCTTTACCACTTTTAAAAAAAAAAATTTTTTGATAATTGGATCTCAAAAGGTAGGAGGACACCATAGTACTCACCAAATGTTTCAAAATTTGGAATTTCTCCCGAAAGAGAAAATCAACCTAAGCACTGTCTCTAATTCTGTTTCTTTTAATTAGTGATCTAAATTCATTCCAGTGATGAGATTAACAGATTAAAGAGGTGTAGTGAGGTCTACAGTGGTGATTCTTACTTCAATTGTGAGTTTGAGGGCTTCCACTATGATTTTCCTCAACCCCCCCCAACTTTTCCTTCAATTTCTTATCTCTCTCCCCCTTTTTAGAATTCTTATGCATCTTAGAGGTGCTAGGTTGTCTCTACACCTCTTTTGTATTTTTGTGTTAATTAAATATATATATGTAATATGCACCTCAATTAGGAGAACAGATGCGCAAGCATTTTTTTTTGTGTGTGTGATAGTACTGTACTTACTGTTTTGGATTTTCACTATCAAAAACTCAGATTTTTCCCAAGAGTACTGGATGAAAATATGATATCACAGGTTTGTTTGTTATCTCTCTTGACATTTTGTTCTCATTTTTTTTTTTCGTGCTGGACGAAACTAAAATATTATATATATATATATATATATATTTTTCCTTCTCTCTAGGTCCTAGAAACCCTTCTCACATTGCTTTTACCCTTCCATTGTGTTATGAGAGTGTTTACTTAGGCACTTCATTCTTAATTTTCTTAACATACAGAATCATTCTTGTAATGGTATGATACAAGAGTACTGCAGCTCCCTTGAGATGTTTTTCCGTTAAATAATCCTTTGAATTTGTTATGTCAGTGTGCATCTGCAGTTGATAATTTGGCTACTTATTATTTCAAGCACATAACGGTTGGAGAGTCCCCCACTACACCAGCTGCTCTTAATCTTGCTCGGCATGTTGCAGGTCGCCCTGGTGTGTTTCCTGAAGTAAGTTGCTTCTTCTTTTTCTTCTTTTTTTAAGAGAGACAGAGATGGCATGGTAATATCAAGAATTTAGATAATATGGCATGAATTTAACAAGAAGAACAAAAAATATTAAAAGCAAGACACATACAATTTTTCACTCATCAAGTGACAAAAATGAAGTTGCTTCTAAATTTTTGTGTGATCAGATGAGATGTATCAAAGGAAATTTGGATCCAAATCACACATTTATGAAAGAAATTTGTGTGATCAGATGAGATGAATCAATGGTTTTTTGTTACATTTAAAAACCATAAAATATCGTTCCTCCATAAAGAATGCCCATCTAATGCATTCTACCAAAGGTCAAAATGATGTGTTGTAATCCCTCATGATATTGTTCTGAAAATTATTGTGCCAAGAAAAAGAGAAGAAAAAATAAGAACACTTTCTCATATCACAAGGATCATCTCGCATAAAGTGAGCCAAGCACGTTATACAAAGGTATTGAAAATTATAAATAAAATGTCACCAATGCAAACAATATTGCATCACCTCCAATTTATTATCATTTATCATAATTATATTTGATATGACACCATTCACTGTCGGCATTATGACAAACCAAACCCTATGGTTCTCAATTGTCATTAGAATATTTAAGCTGATAATATGCATTTCAAATGAAGAGAAATCAGTTTCGGCCTTATCTCTCTTCTCTCTATCTCTCTCATCTTTTTTTCTTCTCATCTCTCTCATTCATCTCGCTTCTCTCTGTCTCTCTCTTTGTCTGTCCTACTCATCTTTCTTCTTTCTCTCTATTCTCTCTCTTTTTCTATGTCTGTCTCTCGATCACTCTTTTCGTTCTCTTTCTCTCTCTCTGTCTATCTCTCACTCATCTCTTGTTTCTCTCTATGTCTTTATCTTTTTCTTCTTCTTCTCTCTCTATCTATCTCTCTTCACTCATCACTATTCTCTCTCTCCTTCTCTTTCTATGTCTCTTTCTCTATCTTTTGTTATTCTTTTTGTTGTTCTCTTCTCTCTCTCTCTCTCTCTCTCGCTTTTTTTCTTTCTCTCTATCTCTCTCTGTCTCTCACTCGTCTCTCTTTTCTGTCAGTCATTCATTTCTCTCAATCACAATCATTTCTTTCTCTAAGCCCATTTTGTTGAAAGAGGGAAAAGATCAAAATGAAATGGGTCCTTCTTTCTCTTTGCCTCTGTCTCTCGCATCCTCTTCTCTCTCTTTTACTCATCTTTCTTCTCTATCTCTTCATCTCTTTTCAATTAATTCATTATTATTTTTCCAATAATTTATTTTCAATTATAATGTGTATGATCCCATCGTCATAAAAATAAAAAAATAAATATAATATTTTAGGCCTAGACAAACATGCATAGTTTAACATTTCTCGCTCATCTTTCTTCTCTCCTATCTCTCTCTTTTCTATGTCTTTCTCTGATCATCTCTTTCGTCTTTTTCTCTCTCTCTTGTCATCTCTTACTCATCTCTTGTTTCTCTCTGCCTCTATCTCTATCTCTTATCTTTCTGTCTCTCTCTATCTCTCTCTCTCACTCATCACTCTTCTCTCTCTCTTTTCTCTCTCTATGTCTGTCTGTCTGTCTGTCTCTTACCTTCTTCTCCTCTTTCTCTCTGTGTGTCTATCTCTCCCCCCCATTGTGTTCACCTTGCTCACTTTCTCCCTCCACTCTTCTCTATTTACCGAGCTCTTCACTACAAGAAAATGCACTTTTAGCGACCACTTTGTCTCTCTCTTGCTCATCACTCTGTCTCTGTCTCTGTCTTTGTCTCTGTCTCTCTCTCTATCTCTATTCTCTATCTGTCTCTCACTCATCTCTCTTTCACTACCCATCTCCTCTACCACATTCACTACTACTGCAAATGTCATTCCACTACCAGCATTATTACCATTGTTGCCACTCCACCTCTACGACTACTACCATTACTACCACCATCGTTACCACTATACTATTATCTACTACTACTACTACTACCTTTCTCCTCCACCGCTACTCCATCCCTCTACCATTACCACAACTTCACTACTACTACTACCTTTCCTCACCACTGCCACTCCATCTCCTCTACCATTACCATAACTTCACCACTAATCTCCTTTGCCATCACCACCACCACCAACCACCACTACCACCTCACCTCTTATCCACCACATTCACCACTACTTGTCGCTTCCTCTCCTCTACCACAAAAATTAGTCTCTTAATTTTTAGTAATAAAAAAAAGGGCCACAAAAAAAAATTTCATCGACCATAAAAAATTAACTTATTTTAACGAAAAATATTTTTCATTAAAATATTACCCTTACTTCTATCAAAAAAAAAAATTAATTCAAATAAAAAAATAAAACTAATTTCCTCCCTTTTTCACTTACTCACCGGACCGCCCGCCCGCCCGCAAACTTAATTTCCCCCTTTTTTCTCTCTTCCTTTTCCCATTTTTTTTTCATTCCTTTCAGGTTTGTAGAGCCCTTAATTCACACACATTGTTTCAAAACAGTGTGCAAACCTTAATCTGAGAGAGAGAAGATAGGGGTTTGAAGAGAGACTGGGGGAAGAGGAAGGGTTTCAGTCAGCGGCGAGACTGGTTCAGCAGCGCGGAGAGACTGTTCGGCGGCGAGACGGTACGCTTCTTTTGACTATTCTTCGACTCTCTCACTCCAGTCGGTTCCTCTATCGACTGGGTTGAAATGGTTTCTCTATATCTCTATGTGACTGTGTATCCTTGGAACAACAATGATGTAGTTTTATAATCCGAACAGATCTTAAACCCTATGGCCATTCGGTTCGTCTCCACTATGGCCAGAGACAAACACATCTTCCCTGCCCTCTCATTCTCTTATTTTTTATTTGTATTTTTTTGAACGGCCTTGCACTCTCATTCATGCTCTCTAACTCATGCAAATGATCTCATATCCAAAACACTTAAATCCTCTTCTAATCAGTCAAATTGAAGAGCCGACTGGCCATAGGGTTTCAATTTATGAATAATCAAGCTTTGTGGGCTATATTTGGAAGATACTTTCAATTGATTTTCGCTTAGTACTGGAAGATATTTGGAAGATACTTTCAATTGATTTGTTTGATGTGAAATGCAATGGGGTTAGGAGAAATTTTTCATTCATTAGGCAAACAGAGCATATTAATTCTCTTCATGCTTTTATTGACGTTGATATATAACATGCCAAGTTTGAACTCATTCCAATTTTGGTCAATTGAAAAAGCCGGATGTATCTGCACCAGGAGTCCGTTCTTGTTTTCGCTTAATAATATTTTACCACTTTAAAAAAAAAAAATTGATAATTGGATCTCAAAAGTAGGAGGACACCATAGTACTCACCAAATGTTTCAAAATTTGGAATTTCTCCCCGAAAAGAGAAATCAACCTAAGCACTGTCTCTAATTGTTTCTTTTAATTAGTGATCTAAATTCATCCAGTGATGAGATTAACAGATTAAAGAGGTGTAGTGAGGTCTACAGTGGTGATTCTTTCAATTGTGAGTTTGAGGGCTTCCACTATGATTTTCCTCAACCCCCCAACTTTTCCTTCAATTTCTTATCTCTCTCCCCCTTTTTAGAATTCTTATGCATCTTAGAGGTGCTAGGTTGTCTCTACACCTCTTTGTATTTTTGGTTAATTAAATATATATATGTAATATGCACCTCAATTAGGAGAACAGATGCGCAAGCATTTTTTTTGTGTGTGTGATAGTATACTGTACTTACTGTTTGGATTTTCACTATCAAAAACTCAGATTTTTCCCAAGAGTACTGGATGAAATATGATATCACAGGTTTGTTTGTTATCTCTCTTGACATTTTGTTCTCATTTTTTTTTTCGTGCTGGACGAAACTAAATATATAATATATATATATATATATTTTTCCTTCTCTCTAGGTCCTAGAAACCCTTCTCACATTGCTTTACCCTTCCATTGTGTTATGAGAGTGTTTACTTAGGCACTTCATTCTTAATTCTTAACATACAGAATCATTCTGTAATGGTATATACAAGAGTACTGCAGCTCCCTTGAGATGTTTTTCCGTTAAATAATCCTTTGAATTTGTTATGTCAGTGTGCATCTGCAGTTGATAATTTGGCTACTTATTATTTCAAGCACATAACGGTTGGAGAGTCCCCCACTACACCAGCTGCTCTTAATCTTGCTCGGCATGTTGCAGGTTGCCCTGGTGTGTTTCCTGAAGTAAGTTGCTTCTTCTTTTTCTTTTTTTTTATAAGTAGTTAACTGATTTCTCTTCATTTGAAATGCATATTATCAGCTTAAATATTCTAATGACAATTGAGAACCATAGGGTTTGGGTTGTCATAATGCCGACAGTGAATGGGTCATATCAAAATAAATATGATAAAATGATAATAAATTGGAGGTGATGCAATATTGTTTGCATTGGTGACATTTTATTATAATTTTCAATACCTTTGTATAACGTGCTTGGCTCACTTTATGCGAGATGATCCTTTGTGATATGAGAAAGTGTTCTTATTTTTTCTTCTCTTTTTCTTGGCACAATAATTTTCAGAACAATATCATGAGGGATTACACACATCATTTTGACCTTTGGTAGAATGCATTAGATGGCCATTCTTTATGGAGGAACGATATTTTATGGTTTTAAATGTAACAAAAAACCATTGATTCATCTCATCTGATCACACAAATTTCTTTCATAAATGTGTGATTTGGATCCAAATTTCCTTTGATACATCTCATCTGATCACACAAAAATTAGAAGCACTTCATTTTGTTCACTGATGAGTGAAAAATTGTATGTGTCTTGCTTTTAATATTTTTTGTTCTTCTTGTTAATATTCATGCCATATTTATCTAAATTCTTGATATACATGCCATCTCTGTCTCTTCTCTCT